TATACTATAAGTTAAGATTCTTATCGATTAATAGTACTATAATTAATTAATTATAATATTTTACGCGTAAATTATATATATAAGCTATAATAAACGGTTTATAACCTTAATTATTACTTATAACACTTAAATTAATAAAAGATAAAGATAAAAAGAGTTAATAAAAGGTTTATAATAATGCTTTAAGAGCGAGAGGGCTCATAACCTGTGAAGGGAGGTAAGGCTAATAAAATAGTAATTACATTAAACTGTCTTAGCCGAACTAATAACAAGGCTAATAAGCCGGGAATGTGCGATGCTGTAGGCATCGCGCGAGGCTGAACCCTCATCACGTGACCACCCTCAACAACGGAGTACTTCGTAGTGCTACCAGACCCGCCGTGGGTTGCGCCACAGCTAAAATAAGTAAGTATATGGCTCACTGGAGGTGGACCCGCTACCCCCACGGCCCCTATATCGCCCACCAGTACCTTCCTTACCAGACCCGTCACAGGAGGTGCATCTAGCCATTTTTGGCGACAGGAACGGGTTAGTCCTGAATCAACAAAAAAAACAATATTATGATATGTTGCCTTGAGATGGTAGTTTAAGAAGGCCAAAGTTAAGGATGAGTATAGATTTAGAGTAAATGAATCACAATTTTTCTTTTCTCCCTTGGAGTGAATGTCCTTTAAATATTTGGGCAAATAATTATTCTTGCGTAACGTCTCTCTTGGCATCGTTGGGAGACGGGTCAGCCGGCAGAACCCTCGCACTTTAGACACGAAACAAGGAACTTGGTGCGCACAACCCGTTGACCGCGGTTGCATGCCTGCACTGCCACCAACAGTCAACCGTTGTATGTGCGTGTGACATCGAGACCTAGTGCTTCGTCCCCGCGGACACGCTTGTGCGATCGCCATCGTTGATGCGGTTGAGGAGTGAGTCTATCTATGCACAAAAGGTGCGCAAAGGATTAGGCACCCCGTAGCGGCTGTCTTGCGGGGGAAGCGCGCTCAATGCAACTACAAAAATCTAATTTAATTCGACTTTTATTCTCTTTATCGTTTTTTGGGAAACATAAATCCAAATCCACTTATATTAATCTTCTTATTTTTAACTTATTTCTCATACAATATTTAAACGCAGATACCTAGTAGGCTATTGCCCGTTACGAGTCACGACTAATACGTCAACTCTAATTCCTTAGTGCAAATCGATACGCCTCTCCGCGGTCAAGGTACACCACCCGGTCCTTCAGCCCAGCCCTCTCTACTTCTGCCTGAAAGTCAGAAAGAGGCGAAGTGAAAACACTGTAGACGGAGTACTTCGTAGTGCTACCAGACCCGCCGTGGGTTGCGCCACAGCTAAAATAAGTAAGTATATGGCTCACTGGAGGTGGACCCGCTACCCCCACGGCCCCTATATCGCCCACCAGTACCTTCCTTACCAGACCCGTCACAGGAGGTGCATCTAGCCATTTTTGGCGACAGGAACGGGTTAGTCCTGAATCAACAAAAAAAACAATATTATGATATGTTGCCTTGAGATGGTAGTTTAAGAAGGCCAAAGTTAAGGATGAGTATAGATTTAGAGTAAATGAATCACAATTTTTCTTTTCTCCCTTGGAGTGAATGTCCTTTAAATATTTGGGCAAATAATTATTCTTGCGTAACGTCTCTCTTGGCATCGTTGGGAGACGGGTCAGCCGGCAGAACCCTCGCACTTTAGACACGAAACAAGGAACTTGGTGCGCACAACCCGTTGACCGCGGTTGCATGCCTGCACTGCCACCAACAGTCAACCGTTGTATGTGCGTGTGACATCGAGACCTAGTGCTTCGTCCCCGCGGACACGCTTGTGCGATCGCCATCGTTGATGCGGTTGAGGAGTGAGTCTATCTATGCACAAAAGGTGCGCAAAGGATTAGGCACCCCGTAGCGGCTGTCTTGCGGGGGAAGCGCGCTCAATGCAACTACAAAAATCTAATTTAATTCGACTTTTATTCTCTTTATCGTTTTTTGGGAAACATAAATCCAAATCCACTTATATTAATCTTCTTATTTTTAACTTATTTCTCATACAATATTTAAACGCAGATACCTAGTAGGCTATTGCCCGTTACGAGTCACGACTAATACGTCAACTCTAATTCCTTAGTGCAAATCGATACGCCTCTCCGCGGTCAAGGTACACCACCCGGTCCTTCAGCCCAGCCCTCTCTACTTCTGCCTGAAAGTCAGAAAGAGGCGAAGTGAAAACACTGTAGTCATCGTAATGGATGGGAATCGTAACGTCAGGATCCATCAACTGCATAAGTTGTATGCCCTGTTTCGCATCCATTGTCACCATTAACAGTGGTGCGTTCGGTCCTGGAATAGTCGTTCCTCCGAGGTGAACAAGCATAAGATCCAGTTGTTCATTCTCCAGGCGCTTGGGAATATCCTCAAGTTCATCGACAAAAAGGGTGTCGCCGGATATGTAGATCCGATACCCAATGTCGATCTCCGTGTTTTGCAGCCCACTGCTCCCCGTTTTCTTTTCGTAGCCGAGTTCCAACAGCCAGCCGTTTGTAGGAGGAACTGCTCCCAGCAGATCATTTGCTGTAGACAATAATCCCGGAGGAACATGCTTGCCTGGCATTGCGGTAACTTTTACCATGCGCTTGCCCTTGTGACTTTCCGACGAAGTGTCGAGTATTAGAGTTTCGAAGGGCTCTAGGCTTTCAACATTACGAAACGGCTCATCTTTGACCTCTGTAAGGCACCGTGTCGCGTGGGATGTTGTGATTATGGGAAAGTCGCGGTTTACCGAGTCCTCGACGAGCTTGTCAAAATGGTCCTCGTGATAGTGTGAGAGCAGGATACAATCCAACGAAGGCAGATCATGAAGGTCCAGTGCTGGGTTTGTGAGGCGCGTCGCGGTTACACCCGGACCGAGGTGGACATGGTCTCCGGCGTGAAGAAAGTTGGGATCGGTAAGTATGCGAAAGCCTTTCCAGTCAATTATAGTTGTAGCGGTGCCAATGAAGAAAACTTCAGCAGTTTCATTATTCTGAGCCGCGCTAGAGTGGGAGTGAGTCTGTTTGGGAGATGGTAGATTGTCATGGCCCCCAGCATTCGGGTGTCGCGGATCTCGGAGCAGTGGGACTCGATCATTGGAGCCCAGGCGAAGATGCTTTACGATATTCATGATTAATTGTGAATTGCAGTACTGTTCCTTTCCAGTTGATTAACTTCAGTTCATCAAGCCTCGATTAAATCGAATGTGCTCCGTAATTCAACTTGGGAGTTGTGGGTGTAATAATGACGTCGGTATTGATGGTACGTGATGTCACCGGACACACATACAGGCATTTTTTAGCAACCCCAACGTAGCCGAACTAACAGCTATTGGCTATTAGACATCACCTACCTATCAGTTCGCAGTCAGTACGTTCCGTACGACATTCGCGTCCATCATCAGCCTAGATGTAACAAGACTGAGATAGAATACACACAGCTTTATATTTCGGTTTACCGACAGACTTCGCTCATGAGATGCGGTAATAAGGACAAATCTACATAATTTAACCCCTCCATTGCGAAAATTTCCATCCATGGCCCGCCAAACTATACTGACTTTGCCACTTTCCACGCTATTTACACTTGTAAAGGTGAGCGAAGCTTCACTTTCCAAAGACCGTTCCTTAGACTATAGACTGAAGCACCACGCCTATGTGACAACAATCAGTAACAGCATATATTTCGGCGCCACTGCCAACTTGTTTATAGTGCGGCCGCCTAGGCTTCTTGGGTGACTCGTTAATCCGGGAATATTAACCAATTCCGAGTTGGTCATAGACTATAGTATCCTGTCCAAGTAATCGCTTTCGGCCACTGAGGCGTTCTCTTAGATAAAGCGAGCCGCCAAAAAAGGCGGCATTTATGTAAATAACCAACTGTGCTCTCTTCGTTTCCGCAAGCAAGGCACATGTTGGGTTCGTGAATGTACATATTGCCACCCTCTTGAGCGAAAAGTCAAAAATACAATCAAGGTAGTGAGAGATTTCTCTCTTGAATTAAGGTGTCAGGCTCAAAGCCAAAAGGAGTTGGGGCTCCCAGACCGTTATAAGCGGCTTTGCCGATCCGTCGTCCTCACACTTTCGCTTGTATCACGCTCTCGCTTTTCTCGAGCTTGGTCTTTAGGCGGAGGCATTGTCGGTTCATTTTGGCGCCTCGGGGTCTTTCCTTGGCTTATAAAGTGTTAGCTTCAATGGCGGTCAATACACACTCCAGGTAGGTATTTGGGCGGACCCAGGCTCAGGAGACGATTGAGATGCTGTCGTCGGTTTGAATTGTCCTTCTTCGCCGCTCTTAACGCCCTTGTAATGGATGTACTTCTGCATATATTGAGGAGTGACAAACTTATTGGAAAGGGTTTGCTTAAACGATAATGCGTTGCGCAGAAATCTGACGTTGTACATTGCAGTCATGATATTAGCCGTTGGAGGACTCATGCTTTCGATGCGAATCGATGCGGTTTGAAAATGAAAAGAAGGTGATTCTGTATCTATATTTCAGTGTAATGCGCATTGTCCGCATCATTTGGTTTCCATTTCGTCATGTATGCGTCATTTCCGGAGGGCCACCCCTTCTCGGCACAAACCAATTACCTTGCATCAATTGCTGATAGAATAGCTTCTTATGGGCCTAAACAGTGACAAAATAGCTAATTTCGTCGTCTAAGAGCAGTCACAGTCCTTGTAACGGCCCGCAAAATTGCATCGGTATCTCGGCGAATACCCTCGTGATATCAAGCTAGAAAAAGAGACAAAATATCGGTCGTGGTCTTGACCTTCCGACCCCCTTTTTCGGTCTGTTATTCGCGGGACGTCAACAGTTTTACTAGTATGGCAACATTATGTTTTCAGAGCGCACTGAATATTGCCTACGACCATTCTAGTGGCCTGTATAGCACCTCCTGCCTTCACAATCCAGACACCCGTCAGCGTCTCCAGACATATCAGGCCATTGTCGACTTTATACTGAATATTGATGGCTTTGGAACGTTAACGTATCTTCTCTGAAGCTTTGTATCTGAGACTTGGCCTAGGAGAAGCGGTGTATTGTCCGAAAGAAAATTAAGTCCAAAATCATTGCTTTATCTGTTTTGAGCCTAGCTTGGGTTTGTCATAGCCAGAGGCTAACAACGGTTTCTGCTAGCTCTTTAATTTCGACCCTTGTTTTAGGGCTAATAGACCCGATTATTGCCAGGTAACGAGTGGATAATTTGGCTCATAAACGACGTGGCTCATTGTTGATGTGCTCTGCGAGGTAGAATGAAGCGTGTTAGTATGCACATACATCAAAGGCCATTCCATAAATTGCTTCTCTCGCCCGCTCATCCATCTCATAAATTTCCACATCTCAACTGAAAAAATAAGATACACTCGAAATTCCTGCTGCCAAGCCGTAATTCTCAACTTTGGAAGGACTCCCCCTGGCTATATCACTCTGACTTAGAAATCTGACCCGCCACGCCGTTTCCTGGTAGTGCTCGTTTGGCGCTGGTTATTTATGCACTCCCTTGTCGACAAATGCCTTTGACACAGCATCCAACGCTGCATTTTGGACGTCTTCCAGGGGAGGAACCACACTGATTATCGTGGCGTCAGATTCTTCAATTCCAGGTCGCTCAAGTGTTTCAAACTGGCTATGTATCAGATTTAACTCGGAAGATTGACCAAGTTCAGCCTCTGCTCGGCGCTGCAGCTCGGGCTCTGGCGCGTCGAGCCAGACAAAGTGCACAACTGAATAGCCAGCATGGTGGCAGCTTTGCCTTAGCTGTTCGCGATAACTCCGCTTCAATGCTGAGCATGTGATGATGAGATGGCGCTGGTTAACATGCTCCTTTTCGTTGCGCGAGACTTGCTCCCAGATGGCCTCAAGCCAGTGTTCGCAATCCGAATCCGTCAAAGGCTCCCCTTTGTGTATTTTGCCAATGTTGGCCTTTGGGTGAAGCTACATACCAGTTAGCGCGGCTTTGTAAGACTTCATGTGTGGGTGTCTGACGTCGTCTTCCTCAATATATTGGGCATTCAAACTGGAGGCAAGAAAGTTTGCCACCGTAGATTTACCTGTAGCCATAGGCCCGGATATACATAAAACCCATGATCGATTACGTGGTTCGGCATGCCCAGCCGAGATAACATCCCCACTCGTGCTGGCATCGAATAGGGGAAGAAATGGCATCGTTCCTGTGCAGGCGGTTATCCACCATACCACTGAAATAGCTATTGAAGTTTGAAGTCATTTGAAAGAGAAATAATCAATTAGTTTTATTCTGGTTTAGTTATCGAGTCGGTTCTCGTAATTGTCTCATGGTTTCCTGACGTCATGCTGATGCCGTTCAACTCTGAATCTCCTAGTCTCCGACCAAAAATATAGATGGGACAGGCTGTAACATGATGTGAACTACAAAAGATAAAGCATTATTGATGCTATTGGGGCTAAACATGGCGTAGGTGGAAAATTTTGTGGCTAGTTTGCGTTCAGTTACTCGTGATTTCAGCATGGAGCCAAGTAACAACTCCTCATTCCCATCATATACGTATCTTTCAGCTTCCTCTCAAAACGTGTACCCATCCGACAGAAACGTCATCAAAACTGGTAAGAGTATCGAATGACCAAAATGGATGACACCATTCTGACAAGCTCTGTCAGAGAAACCTATGCCTATTCCTCCGACATGATGGCACTAAGATGTCATGGTAAGGCTGGCGCCTTTTTCCTAGCGGGGTGATGGTTTTATCGCTAATTTCCTTCCCTTTCTAGTCTCTTCGCGCTGAATTCCGACCTCTGCTTGCTGGTCTCTTGCAACTGCGCATCTATTTCGGTGTTTACATACGAACGATGATAAAATATTGCGCAGCTGGCCATTGGTCGTCGACGTCACATTACAATTGAAGCACAATGCCTATTACTAGCGTCACTGTTACAAGACCGCACGTCACCACTGATTTACTGATTGCAAATAACCATTTTCTCATTGGCCAAGTATAATTTTACTATCACATGCGTCTTGTCTCGAGATAAGTTCGAAGAGTATAAGTATGAGTGGAGGCAGTGTCCAGCTTGTCCACAACTTGCCTATTTACCGAAATGCTTATGCTTAGTCTACGCACTGTCTCTTCCAGGCTCCCCAAGTATTACAATACGGTTTCTGCTCCCTTATTAAGTCGTTCCATTCAACAATCCGCCACCATGACTACCATATCCCAGGCCATTATCGATGACCACAGAGAGCTTGAGCAATATTATAATGAAGTAGTTAACCACCTAAACGATCATGACCATCAGCAACGCTTCGGGAATCAGTTTATTTGGGAGCTCGCTAGACATTCTCTGGGCGAAGAACTGGTCGTCTATCCAGCCCTGGAAAAGCACCTCGGTGCAGAGGGTAAAGAAATGGCCGAATCTGACAGGAAGGAGCACCATTCCGTAAGTATAGGGCCTTACCAGCTATCCGTGACAAAGACTAATGAGATATTTGAATACAGGTCAAGCAGATGCTGAAAGAGTTTCAGGAGATGAGTGCTTCTGACTCGGGCTATGTTAAGCAGTTAAAGAAGATATGGGTTTCTCTTTCCGATCATATTAAAGAAGAAGAGGAGCGAGATCTACCTGCTCTTGAAAGCAAACTCAAGCCATTTGAGGAAGAGTCCAAGTCCATGGCCCAGTCTTTTCAGCGCACAAAGCTTTTTGTGCCTTCTCGCAGCCATCCTAGTGCTGGAGAGCACCCGCCCTTTGAAACTGCAATGGGTTTGCTTGCCGCCCCCATTGACAAGGTGGCTGATCTATTCCGAAAATTTCCCGACAAGGAGAAGCTCTAGACAGGGCTGCATTATTTTGAAAGTCGACGGATACATAATCTCTTTTGTTGATGTGAATGGTTGTTTCGGGACACTAGTATTGCTGTTGAACATGATACGAGAAAGCCAAACTAACATGTTAAATCTCCCTGTCAGCCGCTCCGACGTGGGCGAGGGAGATTTGTCAAGATAGGGTGCCCATGATGTCATCAATATGCAGACATAGTCGATCAGACATATATGGGCTCAGAGCGCCGTTGTTTATGTGACTAGGAAGCTAATTACAAGTTCTCAAACCGTTTAATTTTGAAGTGCTTCCAAGACAATTTCTTCAAGTCATATTACTTGTGCAGCATACCGCATGAGGCGGGACAGAATTGCTCCCGTCAGAGATGAATGATAATGTCTGTCCCTCGTCTAATCCGAAGCGTCCGCGGGTCCCCGCTTCGAAGGTGTCTCTTGGCCCATCTTGCTAATACCCCTTGTGTCATGAAGCCCTTCTTCGTCTTTGCGGCTAGCAATTCGCTTCCCGCTCACCGCACTTTTCATGGAGTTCAACCAGCCAGACTTCTCTGGAGAAGTCGAATTTGTCTCCAGTTGCGCTTTGGCTTCGTTCTGATGAAGCCGTGGCGTTAGCTGGTGATATCGTACTGTCCATGCGGATAACTTACTTGGTTTTGACCCGATCCATCACCACTAGGAGTGCCATTGGAGCTTGATCCCGTGAAAGAAACCTCCGTTCTGCGGGCACCAGAGCCTCCAGCTCCTTCACCACCGCCGATTTTACCCGAAGGGAGTTTGTCTCTCGACTTGGCCGTTGTGATTTGACGACCCGGATCCCCGTCACCACTGCCAGTCGAACCTCCCCGCTCCGTGCCCCCGGCAATCCGATTACCTCCAATGCCTGCGCCACCCAGCCCGAGATCACGCTTCTGCTGAGCCATATTTCTATTATCTTGGGTCTCGGATTGGTTCTTTCGCGTAGCGTATATGGTAGCACCGATAAGGCCTGCACCGGCCGCGCCTGTCATGATGACTTTCTCTCTAGACATTTTCAGACTGCGAAACCGGTAGGGATAGCCTCTGCTGAAAATTTTATTGCGGAGTCTATGGATTAAGTGATATGGAGCGTAAGATCTTTTGATGATGAAAAAAAATCAATGCATAGTTTCTGAAGTATTAGAGTAGGTAGGCAGTGTTTGAAATGTGGCGGTGGGTTTTAGAGAAGTAAGCAACGCAGTGGTGATATCACCGTGACGACTTGCAGTATGCCGCCATGGCGCCGCACGCCGATGCGGAATGAGTTCATCGATTCTAGTGTATTTATGAATTTCGTCTTGAATCACAACTAAACCTGAAATCTCATCCAAGACATTGTAGTCCTGAGAGCTATGCCGGATATGTCCAGAGTTACACAAGGCACGACTCGGGGAGATTTAGACACCGACCCCCAATTCGCCAACAGCCTTCTAGTGATAGCCTTGGCTCTATTCCTGTCTCACTTTTGAGCTTTCTTTCCGGTTTGCGTGCCCCGCCGGGTTGCCACAGATATGACATACAATAGGTTGGCAAGTTGGCAACCGGTTAGTTATGACGCCGAAAACGTCATCTCGCTTCTGGGGGCTTCAGACGTAGACCATCTGTTGGCACTCGCTCACAGGACTTACATATTACCGTCGCATGGATTTTGTACAATGCCTCACCAGAGTCGGGCTCTAGCGTGCGCAACCGAGAACAACCACTCATCGGCCGAAGCTGCCCTGGTGGATTAGGAGGCGATTGCAATGGGCGAGTAAGGCTGTGTTAAATCCCTAGTAGCCATGACTCATTTCGACTTTGTGGGTCAGACACGCGGCAGCCTCCGACGCCATTATACGTTGGAGAACTCGATACCGAACTTCTTGGCCAACCGAGAAGTGGTTGAGCCGTTGAGTGTTGTACACATTCTAGTTATTCCGTCTCATACGTCACTTTGCTACCTCCGTGCTGATAGCCCCCCCACTGACGTCAGTGGGAGATATTTGATGCTTAGAAGCTGAGTCGCTCGCTGTTGGCAAATTCCATCGCAGGCGACAACTATTTCTGGAAACAACAGGCATCATTTACTAGATCGGTCGGCTACTTGCAGTTGTAAGTTACTAAAACCTACTTTATTTCGGACAAGAAATGTTTCTCTTTTCAGCATCCCGCCCAGCAGTCCTATAATGTCACCCGCTCTTCCACGGGAGAACGGCGAGCGTCAGATCGAGACTTCACAAGGCAGCATGATGGTGTCTTCAGATCTCCTCATTGGATCTAGAGCCGTGGCTGACGCTAGCTTCGCCACGGTCTCGGATCCAAACGCTGAGGTAAATAGCAGTGCATCCCCCGAAGCACATTTATCGTCATCTACCTTGTCTAGTCCCAACGTTAGAGATGGCGTCGTTTCAGCACAGACCGAGTCTCAATTTATGGGACATCCTGAACCAAATGGGGTGAAATATGATGCCCCATCGCCTTACAAGGACGGCAAGAATTGGGCAATCGATCCGCAACTGTACGCGTCAGATTTTTTCGACTATATGCAATTACAAAGGGAATCATCAATTACAAAGAGTGAGCTTTCGGGGAACCCTCAGGAAATGGAATCTGTACCGCTTGATACGAGCAACTGGGTCGGCTTTGCGGGACCATCACCGACATCAAGACAATCTAGGTTATTAATCAATCTAGGTTATTAATACCACCTGGAGTGTCGAATGACCACAGCTCGAGTTCTGAGACGCCCCCACACGACGGCAACAGCTCGTATATTCCGTCTTATATGACACCACATGCCATTCGAGCAAGAAATTTGATTCTAAGCTGCAATCTTCCAAGACGAGGTAGCAAAATTACCAGCCATACCCGAGACGCCACGCGGCGTGTATCAGTCTCAGAGGATCTCCGGCCCTCAAAGCGTCAGAAAATAGACAGCACTTGTTGCAATAGCTAAGTTTAATTACGAATTTTTCCGGACATGCGAAGACAGCATTACTGAATCCAGAGTCGGGACAAGACGTACTGATTTCTCTCCTTCCTTGATTTATCCTTTTCGCTCTTTTATCTGTATTGCTAAGACGTACCGGCGATCATGTTTTATGCCATCTTCTTCTAAATAGCATATTAAACCATCACATGGATAGAGTGAGCGGGAATGAGTCTGTTTACATAGCACTTATTTCAGTGGACAATCAAGAATGTCTTCTACCAGTGTACACTAGACATTACAGTATAAAAATGGCATACACGATGATAAAATGTGTGTTTTAACTTGGGCATAGGACTTCCCATGCTAGATTTGGTGTTTTCCACGAGAAGAGTACTCACTGGGTGGTTGGAAGCATCTGGACTCCTGAATTCTGTTTGAACCACCCATATGAATAGAATGAGCCGCCACGAAGAGGTGCGCATATCCAACTCTATAGGTGACCGTCCCGAAGTCAACATACTTTCGAATTTTGATATACATTCATCTTAAAGTCCCATTCCCTATTTTGTTCTAGTCTATCCGTAGTATTGTGACACCATCTGTTGATGGCTCTGGTTTAGCCGAGTCGGATCAAGATCCTCAAACGCCATGCTCCAAATAGCCTGCGCTTCACTCTTATCCGTCATTCTAGCTGAGTCGAGGCCTGCTTAGAGTTAGAACTGCGGAATATTTCGTCTTTGAGAAATTGGAGCGCAGGCACTGACCAATATGCTGTGCTTGGACGGGATACAAGGCATACCGGGCTAGCCCTGATTCAACAGCTAGGTCGTTCAATAACAGGTCGATTTGACCCTTCTGCCTCCGCTGTAGAAACTCTATAAGCAGTGGCACCTGTTGACGTGGGAAGACCATGGCTTGCGAGCAGCAGCCAAATGGCTCATTAAATACCCCTGGAGAGGGCGGTAGCATCGTAGCCTTGCCGGATTGGAAAAATAGGATTACTAGAGCCGGGTTAACAATTGCGACTAGCAAAAATATTGTTACCGGGTCGATAATCGTGCGAGTCCATCTGCATCGCCTGTACAACAGCCAGGCCGGCACTGAAACAAATAATCCAATGCCTATAATGATCCAATGCTCGTGGTTGCCACCGATATGACGGTTCTCCCAGCCAGTTGACCGCTCTTGATTAAAGAGCCGCATGTAGAGCCACGAGGTTGAGTCGCCCGAAATCTGTTGCAAACCTATGAGAGTTCTGACTAGCCATCCTTGAGCTAGCAGGATGTCGTCCTCAAACATGCCGATGAATGGCGCGCCGTTCTCGAAGCAATGTCTTAATGCGTAGACATAGTCGTACACGCCTTTCTCAAGGAAGTTGTCTTCCCTTTGTAGTTTCTCTATATATGATTTCTGTTGCTGATCAAAACTGTACGTGTATACTTGATCAACTACCTGATGAAGCCATTCTTGGCGCCAGCTGGGATGATTACTCGGATTGGCTTCAGCAATCAAGATCGTAAGATATAAATCGGCTCGCTCTTGCGTAGTCAGTCCGCATAGGAGGCTGGCAACCGTGGTCTAGTAATAGCAATGTCATTAGTCCCTGCATGGCATAGAAAGGCTGGTGAAGAAGAAACCTCAAGATACTGTGTATTTTTCCGGGCCACTGAAGCCAACGCTACACACAGGCTAGCATTTTCTCCAGCCATAGCCTGTTTAGGATGGGTTTCATGGCTTCTTAATCTATTGGTGAATTGTATAACTTCAGCCTGACGATATCGCGAGTATTTCTTCTCATAGGCGTGCTGTGCGTCAAAAAAGGCGCTCCCTGGATCGCGATAGGAATGCGTTTTAGAGTACCACACCGCGCAAAACACCAGTCCTATGCATCCGATAGTTTTATGCAGTATCGATTTAATCCGAGGAGTCATGGAAAATACAGCAAAGAACATGGAAGGCACAGAGAAGGACAACCGGGCCAATGTCGAAATACTTGAAAGTGTTAGGATTGTAGCAGCTACAGGTGTCGCAAGAAGGTAACGATGGCCTAGCAAAAAGTCCGACGAACAAGAGATTCCTCGTTTATCTTTGAAAAAAAAATGGTTAATTGCTCCACACCTCCGCACAGTGCTGTTTTTAATATAACTTTCCCGATACCTTGTTTTCCAAGCTTTTCCTGCCAGGTCCTAACACCACCATCCCATGACGATTTAGGTGCTTCTATCACGAGAGCAAGAGCGTCCCGTCTCAATATCATTGACAAAGTAACCATCCTGCGAAGTCACGGTCGAGAAATTAAAATCCTGTCCCTCTGCTATTCTCGTACCCTCGCACTCTAGTTCGGACAGGAAGCAAGTGAGGCGTTTTACGCACTCCCGCTTCCATGTGTACTAAAACGGAGTGATTGAACTTGACCTCGCAGAGTTTCGGCACGGTTCATGACACCTAGGACAGACGTGTTTGTGCTTACCAACAATGCCCGACGGGTAGGGTTACTCTTTTCGAAAAGCACTGCATGAGCAGGGTGGCGTCTCGTCAAGAGATTAGGTACTTCCCAAAATATAAAGGTGCGAGAGTGCTGGCAGGCCCTTGCAGAGATCTCTCCGCCGCCTGTTTATCTTTCATGTTTACAGCTGACCCTATAAACTGTCCAGTAAGAAGAAGCAACTTCTGCTACTAGGCGGGAGGGTGTTTCTTTATCCTAGTTCCTTCTTGCCCTTTTCACGGGATCTTGAGGCGATTCAGCACGCAGTCTTCAAGGCTCTGCGAAATTTTTGGCCTCCACTGTATCCCAAGTGCTGACGAACGTTGGGCTGATGTGCTCCCAAATGCAGCAACCCCTACATTTCACAGGTAGACCCATACTACGTTCATGACTCGCAGACGTCCACCTTCCCCAGCCATTTGTTCCATGCTGCTAGTGTGAGCTTGATCAGCTTTACTTTGTTTTCTTCCAAGGGAGTACCTGTACAGTATTTCTCGCGTTTATACGTGGCTTGAACATGGATGTATCGCCATCGTCACAAGGCATCATCTTGGTCTCAGGTGTCGGTCACAACCATGTATCACACTCTCCAGCTAGAGGCAACTCATGCTGCAATTTCCAGGGCGATATGGACCTCGTCGCAGGATATCTTCTAGTCGGCGTCGTAGCCTGTTTATCGTTTGTCTGCATATTGCATATTTTCCTCAGCTGTCGCTATAGTTATTCCCGGCTACGCCTGCCCCCATTTCATGCATCCCATCCTCATCATATAACCCATACACTGAATCCACTGGCTCTCAGAGTAGCAGCACGGGGCAGACTCCTCCGGTCTGGCTGCTTCAGGAGTAAATCTCGGATTTGGCCCGAAGTTCCTTGTGTAGCGGCTGGCGCTCCACTTCACATTTTTCCGAATTGACATGTCAGATGAGCTGACCACAGTAAAGTACAGTGTCCATAGGGGAATGCCTAAATAGTTGGGTCATCTACACCCTCATGTGGAGCAGGGTCAGCGAGTTTTGCAACAGACATGGAAACCAGACATTAAACGTCTGGTTTAAACCCCACTTGCCGATCCTCCGTCGACGCGGCTGCAAGCCCGTCTGGTCTGGGCCAGCTAAATGGAGTTTGAATTTCCTATTTCGCGGCTCGGCGTCCACGAGGCAGCTGACGCTCAAAGCACCATCAACCAAACTAGGAGAGAGAATATGAAAAGAAGGTATGGATTCTACATCCCGTGGTAGCAATCCCAGTAAATCCTAATTCTCTCCCCCCCCCACGGAAAGCACGCCGCGAGCCACTCACGCGAAAAGAGGGCCTGAATGTCTATCTATTCCATGGCCACTTCTGCACGCCCTTTGGAAGAGTTATGGCCGAGAAACCTCGTTCATGTTTCCGACGTACGTCGCTTTGTAAGCTGTATCATTTTGCAATGCAGTTGGCAATCAAGTAGCAGGGGAGCCCATTGCTGAGCCTCCAATTGAGCGGTTCTTCTATTAAGCCTAATTGCTCTCCAAATCAGATCTCTCGCAAGGTAAACTGTGTTGGTGATGAGGGGTCCACGATGTATCATCTAATGCTGAGCTTCTATTTAAATCCAATCGTACATGCGTTTGGAGCGGCTTGACGAGTACATGTTGAAGTACGACCAAGAGAAACTTGCCGAAATCCTCTGATATCCACAGTACGCTTCTCGTCATCTTTTCCGCAGTCCGGAATGATACAAATATATTGAGGACTCAAAGTATAAGTATTCGCATGTTTCCATTATCCAGTCCAGCGTAGAAATTACTTGTTTTTCTTTACAAGACTGCCCTCTATACAAGCACAGACGAGACATACTGCAACATCCATCACCTATACACCAATACCAAACACAATACACTACTCTCAATGTTACCTACGACACTACTAGCATGCCTGCTTGCTATTGAAGGTGTGCAAGCCAGTCTAGAAAAGAGAGTTGACCACTGCAAAGGCTACGGCAGATGCTGCCAATGCCACCAGTACGGCCACTATAATAATGATCAAACCAATTGTGTATATTACGCCATTGGTGCCGAAAACTGGGGGGACAACGGCAGCGGTGTCTTCTTTTGTGGGCTTAGCAAGAGTCAAGACTACATCTCCTGGATGTGCCGAGGGCAAGGCGACAAATGCCAGCAGGATGGGATTAATGGTTATGGGTATGATTGCTGGGACTGCTAACTGGCTTGCGTTTGGGATGGCTCCTCGATGGATGGTTTTCCGTCAGTTTAATCGGGCATTGTCAACTTGAGCCACAATTCACCGAGAGGTATAACCGAAACTGTTACGATGGAAACTCATAGATGACTATAGGGAGCACTTGAACTTTACTATCCGCGCAAAACATTGGCTCCGCAGGGTAGCAGAGAAGTAATAGATACATAAATGAAAGGGCAATATTCTCTGCTATTTCGCCATGTGTCACTATCGGAATTTAAGCTGCCTGGCTGTTTAATCTCACTCTCCCCCACCAGAAACTGCGGTAAATATCGATGCTCTCTTCGAAGAAATGGTGGTTTGACGGGCCACGGACCGGGAGGAAGCGCTAAGAGTCAGCAGATGTGGAACAGGAGCGGTTTGTAAATCTTCCTTTAGCATCTGCGTGACAAAGTATGCATTACCGTTATCTTTCTGCAATGTTAGGGGCAAGACTTTATCGAACAACCAAAATGCTCAAGTGGAGCAATGAAACAAAACAACACAAGGAGGGCCTGAAGGACTCTCAAGCCACCGAGGTCGACGCAGCTAATCTGGATTGTCCATAGTCCGAACCCGACTGGCCAGAAAAGATTGGACAGGAAAGTTTTGGGACGGCGAAAATGCTTACGATAGGCTAGCTGCTACATAAAGTTGGGCTCCAGTGTCTGGCAGCTGAGTTTATTGACGCAGTCGTTCCTTCAGACGATGTCCAAGACGGTTTCGTATCAATAGACTGCTTGAAGGTGCCCACTGTTGCTACAACATATCCTAGCTTCTCCTCGCAATCTTAAGACGTGCCTCCTTGAGCAACCGTGTAGAATTCCAGCGCCCCGGTAGCAAAGGAGTCGGGCTCGTATAGCAATTTCCGAACCAGAACCCGCTCAGGGCAGCGCTGTTTCAACAAAATGGTGCCTTCATATTGTCCGTCTCAAACATGACAGAAAGAGGAGGCAGAGAGCTCGACACGTGGCTCGAGTCCAGGGTCAAGTAGCGATTGTCTGAATGAGGCGAGATCAAGTGGCTACAGACCTGTCACTACCGACTTTAAAGTGCCAGGTGTGATAAGGACTCCAGGAGGGCTTGGAGAAATAATTCAATTCATCCAATAACAGTCTTTTGTATCAAAGCTCCTTGGTTTTCCTCAAGGCCAAGTTGATCAAAGAGCTCTATAAATACAAGAAGTCGGTGAGGGCCTTGCCCTAGGTCCCGTGATCGTAACCCCCGTGAAACTGTGTGACGCCAGGCAACATTCAAAGCACTGGACGACATATGAATCTGCCCTACTCTTCCAAAGACAAGCTACTCAATGTAGTTGTTCAAGAGGGGAAAACTGAATATAGAAAACAGCCGGTGGCATAGCCCAGGAAAACTGCGGCGGAGGGGGCGACGACCAAGAAGCCTGGGTAGGATGTGCAGAAGACGAACGGCAGACAAGCCGCAAAAGCTACAGAAAATTTGATAAAAGCCATCTTGACGTCCTGGAAACTAGAGCATTAGGGGCAGCATCGATTGGAAGTTGACGGAGGGCAACACACGGCATTTCTTTCCCCGGGCCGGAAAGTGCGTAAATTGGCTGTGGTCGAGAGCAGAGGCCAAGATGCTTCAGCCATCATACGGTGCCTCGAGGGACGATCAATTACGCCGAGGTCGTCCGCTTGTATCGAGTTGATTATAGCTCTTCCCGAGCCAAGAAAAAAATGAAGGGAGTTGATAGTGGTACCTGCGGCAAGAGGCAAAATAGTTTGTGGGACCAGGCG